GACTATATATAAAGTAATTTTCCCATGGCACACCTTACACTATGTCACGGCACACTAGTGTGCCGCGGCACAGTGGTTGAAAAACACTGATCTAAAGTACCGTTTGGATTCTAATCTACCTTCAATATCATCAGCCTGTTCTTTAGCTTTCCAGCACCTTTACTTTTCCTCTTCCCCAGGAAATCCCTCAACCTTGGATTTTCCCACCCAAAGTCATATCCATTTTGGTCTGTGTCTAAAAGAGAAGAACCCCATTTCACTACATATTTTGGCCACTTTTCAGTTCATGCATAAACAATTTTATGAATCCCTAACTGTTACATTTAAATCAAAGGTCAACCAGTAATACTTATGAGATTCCATATGTTTGAAATAGTTTCAAATGTTATTGTGCCTTGTCTTTAATTTTACATTATTGTAATCTGTTGAAAGAATATCAAAATCCCCAAGATGTAATGAAAATCTAGGTTACTTGCATTTCATGAGGATTGTTTTTAATTTACAGATCCGAGATTAGCTGCTTGCATGTCTTCTGTTTTACTTTGCAAACGTCTTATTTAACACAGTTTATACTAACACATTTTAAAAGGCAGTACTGTTTTTGTTTCTCTAGCATCTACTAGGACTAGAATACAAAACCAGAAACTGAATGATGGTGCTGAAGTTTCAGATACTGTACAAAAGTGAACTGCTGTCGAGACCCAGGATCTGCACTGTAGCTTTGATTTCTGCTATGTTGTTTTGCATATATTGCTTAGCTAATTTAATTTAGTTGAATTTCATGTTTTTTAGCGTTTCATGCTATAACATAGCATATGTATTATCCACTTAAGTGTTAATTTATACATATTAGTTTTAAGTAAAATTGATTTCCCAGTGCATTGTTGTTGAATTATATTACCTTTTCAGTTTTTATTCAACTACTGTTCAATATTCGGGTTCAATATACAAAATGCACTAGTATTTTATTAAGAATTGTCATTTTAATGTTAGACTTGATGCACTATTTATATGTTTGAGGTCCCCCTGCAAGGAACACCCAACACTGTATCAAAGAACCGCCTTCAGGACAGAGTTCTACAATAATTTATACAATTGGATTTATAATAATTAGTTCTGAATGCCTCCCCCCCCCTCCCAACTCTCCTGGACAGTGCATTTAAATATGGTGTCTAGATCCAATACATTAGACATCTCTGTTAAATCATATACCTTGCTAACATTTTTATCTTTTTTTCCATCTTAAAACTCAGATACAAATTAGAAAATTTGGCAGCCTGGTTGAATTTTGTTATTTTATTTCAGCAAACCACAATGACTGCAACAAAACGCCTACACCGTGCATGCCTATCTGTCTTCTCAGCAGAGAAGTGTAATTCTGTAGCTGTCACTTTTCTGTTAGTTTTGTAATGATCAGTAGTCAGATTGCAAACTCAATATAGACTATGAAAATAAAGTTCTGAAATTTTATTAACAGTACCTATTAAGAGTTGGCTAACCTAAACTATCATAATTTGTATTTTGACAAATTAAGCATAGGAATATTCTGTATTCTAATAAAAATTAAAAGATTAATAAAATAATTTTAAAAATAAGAATGAGAATCATTAATAATATACAGTGAAAATATTTAATATTTTTATCCTGACGTTGAGTCGCCAAAACAATTTAGTTTATTGGCTTGCTAGCTATAATTTAGTAAACATGAAATAGAAAGCAATTAAACTTTCAGAAATATTTCATACAGTTGAGCTAAAACCTGGAAAACTGGCTGATGGAACGCAATCCACTTTCTCTATATTCTATGAATCTCTGTTTTCCCAGTAAGTATAAGAAATTATAAGAAAATAAGCACCTTAATGTTTAAATGTGGTACCTTACGAAATATACTATTTAAACTCAAATTCAAAACATTTGATATTTCAGATTTTAGTTTAGCATCTAGGTTGTTCGTTGTTTTGTGAATCTATTCATTAGTGTAAACAAATTCTTGCACAAACAATTATTTCTCTCCTTATCTGAATTTATTTGCAATAAATGTCATGAAGAAACACCCACATATACTGTATATATACAGTATATATACTGTATATATACATTTTCATTTAAAATTTCAGAAAGATCATAAAAGAACATTAATGTGTGGAATCATTCTCATTCTTATAGTCTTAATATGATTTTTTAAATCAGGTTATTTCATTGAAAGTTTGGGTTGTGGCCAAAAAGCCAAATAGTGATTCACTATTACTTTATTTCATACACAACTTTAATTGACTAGGGACAATGATGTAGGTTTAGCTGTTCCAGGATTAGATTGTTTGGAAATACAAGAGCAAGACATTTATTTCTTGCCTCAGGCATGCCTCTTGAGCTTCCTGAGCTCCTGTTTGAGAACTTAAATTCTTAGAAGCTCTAGCCACTCTGTATACAGTCTTCACCATCGACTCTTCAGTATCTCATGAGCAAAACTTCCCACCTCAAGCAGAACCCTGAAGGTTTGACCAGTACTATGTATAAGTCAAGGCAGATTTAGCTATAGTTTCCAATGTTACATATCCAGCAATTGTTCCACTATTAGAATTAGTTACTTGCTCTTAAACTGTAAACACCTCAATGGAATGAAGTAAATATTTGTATCAATCATCATATCTTTACTCTGCAAAGGATAGCAATGTCATTGTCTTTTAAAAGATAACTAACATTAGCACTGTGGGAGATGCTCTGGCTGGAAAAAAGATTCTGCCTAAGAGAGGGTGAACAATTTTCCAGCAAGATATATGACTTTTCCTCTATCAGCCTGTTGCCCCAACCTGTATTCTAAAAATAAGTCTTCCTCCTGGCCAGCAGTCCCAGTTTGGAAATTGTTAAATTAATCAATCAATGAAAAACTAGGAAAGCCTCCAACAGTGCCGGCCAAATTGTTATAAAAAAAATATTGATTGGTGAGTTCTCCATCTTTCTTTATTCACATATCAATAATGCATCCCAAATACCTGAAGGTGAAACTGTTCTTTCACCATCCTACTTTTCAAGAAAGCCAACTGTATGAACTAGCCTACTTATCACCCAGTAGCATACCAGTAAGCTACGTAGACACTTTATCTTTTGCAAGATTGGTTTGGCTGGCACGAGAGAAATTTCTAGCTGTAGAAGTTGGCTTTAGGGAAGGCATGACGCAACGTTACCTAGCATAGTTTAAATTTTATTAAAATCTCTTAATACTTTCATAATTGCTGTGGGGTTCCAGAGGTTTAATCTTTTGTGGGCTTCCCCTTCCCTTCTAATTTTTCAAAGCTCATATTCATATTCATAGGTTAGCAACTTCAGCTATTGGTAAGAAAAAAATGTTGCTTTCATATTGGGAAACCTGCAAGATACTGTAGCAACTGTCTACAGATATGATATCTGTGGGCAGGCTTTTCCTGAAGCGTGGAAGATTATTCCAAAATATTTAAATAGTTTAGCTGTATCAAAATTTGATTACTTAGCTTTTAGTGAAAACTCTTGTTTTGGTGTTTCCTTAATTTCTAAGATTAGTTGTCACAGTAGGGAGCCAGAATGCATAATGCTTTTTTAAAATTAGGTTTATGAGAAAATTATCATCAGATCAGAAATACAACTAACGATAATGAAACTATCTTCATTATTAGGCAAGGGTTTTACTTCAGTTTTTAAATGCTCCAGCTCGACTGGCTTTGCTTATAAAGATCTTCATGAGGCCATGGTCCATTTCTGCAAAACCTGGAGACTGAGTAACGACAGTCAGGTGGTTGATGCAAAACCGGAAGCAAAATTCCTCTAACTCCTAGAAATGGAGTGTTTACATATTAATACACACTACTAATATGGGATATTGTTCCACATAATCACTATAGGTGGCAGGTCAGTGCTGAAAAAAAGATAACCCTAAAATGGGAAATGAAATCTGGGAACAGAAAAACAGCCATATCAATCCATTATACTCATTAAAAGTCATCTTGTTGCATCTCATAGCTAACTGAAGTACCAATTTCCCACTCATGAAAATTTTCCTCTGAGGGGGAAGAAAATTAAATGGAATGAGAGTAATGTTCATATAAAAAAATCCTCAGAAAACTATTTCAACAATCCCATAAAATATGAAATAAGTAAAAAAACCATAATAAAGTATCAAATTATACTCTCCTCCTGTGTCCCTGCCTTCCCAATAAGTGAAGAGCAGAGTCCCGTGGTGCAGTGGTTAAATGCAGCACTGCACGCTACTTCAGCTGACTGCAGTTCTGCAGTTCGGCTGTTCAAATCTTACCGGCTCAGGGTTGACTCAGCCTTCCATCCTTCCGAGGTGGGTAAATTGAGGACCCGGATTGTTGTTGGGGGCAATATGCTGACTCTGTAAACC